ATATCGGGTGTCTCTATAGACGGATGTGTTCACACATCTGCAGTCAGCACGTAATACATTTTGGGATGTGCAGACACCCATGCGGGCAGGAGTCAATGAAAAAAAATTACAATAATATTTAATCATATTCAGCTTGATGGCTTTTTAACAGAAAAAAGAAGAAAAAACACTGATTTCATATTCTCACTTAGCAAACAAATTTATAGGGATATAAATAATTAAGAAAACTGACTTTTGATCTCTGCTGTAAAGCAACGATGATAATAATAATATGTTTCCAGATAAAGCTTTTTGCTGCTACACGCCATGATGTTCTGGTTGATAAGAGAACTAATGCCGCTCCCTACATACACAACGTGCATCCTTATTTGCCCTTGCTCTATTACATTAACCTTTCTACTTCACAATCAATAGCATTTTATTCAACACCTCTCTCTTAGCTGCAGCTAAAGGTTAATGCACAAGAGATTGAATCGGCGAGTGCACAATTCTTTTATTTGCTAAAACTACGGCTTTGAGCCGGCCTTTGTGATCAAATTTCATTAATTGATTTTTATGCAAGGAAAACACATGCGTGGGAGTATTTCTTTAATCCTGGCATTGGACGTGCTTTCGACGAATCCATACGCGCGGCCTCGGGTTTTGAAAATATGCCTCAGCTCTGACCACTGCTCGATGTTTGTTTTTCCAGTCAAACAACTTTGTTGCGAGGATACTCCAGACCCATTCAGCCAAAGGCCTGACATTCTACTTGAAAGAGCTATTTCATATAAATACATTTATATTTGTTCCTTCACACACACAGGCGGTTTCCAGTGGAAGCAGTCTATATGGTAAACTGGAGAAAATGTTTGTGGTGAGCTTGTTGATCGGTGCACTTTTTACAGAATGAAATCTTTAACAGAGATACATGCGCTAATGTGACGTGTGTTTTAGTTCAGGCTGGTCTAATGCAGCATGTTATGCATGTAATCATGAATGACGACGTATAAAGACCGTAAAAGCACACACACAGGGCGGTGAAACGAGAAGTCAGTGTTGATTTATTTGTCACGTAACTTGTGTACTTCAGTAAAGGCACTTCCACAGATATTTTAACCCAAATGATGTTCTGTTCCTAAACCTAACCGAGAAGTTTCCAGTGAAAAAGACAGTATGCATGTAACGAGCGGAAATTGACATGTGTCGGCGGCTTCAAAAGGAGAACACACAACTATTAAGGAGTAACTTTTCGTGAGATAACGTACGAACCGTTGTGTGAGGATACGTTGTTTAGGTAATGTGACCAAATGTTGTTACGGTCCTTTAAGTGGGGCTGTTTTGGGTTAAAGTTTGTGCTCTCATTGACCCGAAGCAGACTGCAAATGTTGATGTTAGTTCAGCGGGCTGAAGTGACTGTTGTCCACTTCTGCTGCTGGATGATGGAAATACGATATCATTTTACGTCACAAGCAAAATCTTCACTTCCCCCGAGGTCGACGAGCGATAAGCGGTTCTTGACAACTCTGCAAGCAGCACCTCTGGAGGCCAAGCCAATACCGCTGTAGTATAAACGATGCTGGATTAAGACTCGGCCAATGCTGTATGAGGAGCGAAATGAAATAAACTAACTTATTAGACCTGAAGCGACACATACAATGCCATTTGGTGAATAACACTACTTGCTTGTTTACAAGAAAAATCCGAAATTAATTTCGATTTTGATGACATTTCTGTTGCGTCTCTATTTCGCCTCGCAAATTGCACTTAATTTTGTTCTGAACTGCTTCGCAAATGAAGATTATTATTAGTCTTACATTAACATACCAGGCATGAGATAATGAAATCCAGCTTGTGCGGCTGCGACATTCATATTCATTGTGAGAGGGGAAATCCTGCTCCACTAAAAAATGAGCAGCATTTCAAAATCCCATTCTCTTCACCACCTGCAGCTTAAACACAGCAGGATTTGAGGGGGAATGGCCATCTCTGGCTGTGTTGTTAAACAGATAAAGAAAAGGGAAAATCCTTGCAGTGTGCCTGCTGCCCCCAAGGCACCACTTATTATGGATAGTTAAAAGACACGTGCACACACATGCATACAGCCGGTGCACATGAACGCAGAGTGGATCGTCTCCGACTTCAGAGAGAACAACTAGATAAAGAAAGTGTGATAAAAACTCTCAATGACTCAATTTTTCTGGATTTAAGACAGAGAAGCACAACACTTAAAACATTTTTTTTTTTACATGTCTTAGTAGTAAATTCCAGTTTGTTGCGACTCTTTTACTAAGTGGGAATGATGTCCAATGAAATTAATTTCTCTAGAGCCGTTTCATACTAAATAGATTCAACTAAATATAAATATCGAGTTAGTCACACTGACTGAGTGTAGTGAGTGGACTGCTTCGTAGCAGAGTGAATACAAATTCAACTTCAAACGCTTCCTGTGACTTTACAGGACTTGAATTATGTATCGGGCCGCTTGTTGTTTGGTCTTGGTGAGGACGTTTAAAGATCATTAGAAGAGAATCTATCTGTGGAGCGGCTGGAGTATGAAATGACTCCTCATTGGCCACATCACAACAAGCACTTTGCTTGTTTTCTTCTGAAGCAATTAGTGACATGAAATGAAGCTGTGTGATGCTCAGGAACCTTTTCTGAGCATCGTTTGTGTTGCTTTTGTGTTGCTGCTTGCAGACATCCATGATGGATTATCAAGTGTAATGACATTTGTAATGAGAGAAATCTATCCATTAGGGTTCCTTTAACAAGACTCAATCAACACCATGCTAATGAGTCGCTGCTCCATCGCAGAGCTGACCGACACGGGACAGACCGGCCGTGATTCCACATCTCCAGCAGTTCAAGACCGTCATCATTTAGCCGATTCTTCAGTCACTGGCTCACAGTCCACTTTCTGCAGCAACCTGGTTTAAACATGTGCACTATAGACCTGTTTTCCATTAATGGGGGTACTGGAGTAAAGAAGCCTGATGGAGAAAGCCTCTTTCTAGGCCATTCATATGCGTTACCGGTGTTTTAATCGGCTTTTTCTACATTTGCATGACAAAGACCTGAGACAGGAAGTGCATCGTTCCGACAGCTGAGCAGCAGAACGAAACGATTCATCATTAAAACATAACGGAGCATCTTTCCATCCGACTCACACTGACGCCAACACGGAGCAGCCCCTAGAGTTTGGTTCCCACCACTGAAGATGTAATTATTGTTCAATTCAGATGCATTTGCACAGCAATGAAAAAGTCAAACGAGAGGAAGCAGTGACTTGTAGAGAAGAAGGACCGTTTCAGAATCAAGGTTGGGGGACGGGAAGATTCTGATTACTGACCTCCTGCATGTACGCACAGTCTCACAGTTATCAGTACATATAGTGAGTGTAACATGATGTCTGGTCTCTTTTTATCATCAACGCTGTGCAAGTGACGATGCAAACAGGTGGTTGGAGAGCAAGCAGGAAAAAAGGTTTTATATGACATTTCATCACAGCTGCATTTATAAATATATTTAAAAAAATCTCAATAGCACCATTACATTCTAGAGGAAGTCATTTCAACTTCCTGCATTATTTAATATTTGAAGCAGCGACTTCTCCTTGTCACTACATCGGATAAAAATAACTTAGGATGACCGAGATAGGGAAAGCTTTTCATCTTAAGGCTTTGTGATGGGCTTTCATCAGTGCGACGCTCTGAATGTTGTGTAAGCGCGACAATGGAGGAGCACATGAAACATGATCAGAAAATGGCCGCCGTATTTGTACTAGACAGTGTGATTGTGACTGTAGAGAAGTCATTGCTCACATTTAAATTAGAATCTAACACAGAATACAAAACACTTTCAGTTCACAAAATATATCTACATGCACTATGGTGCAGGGTTCTGCAACACAATGAACTTACTGATGAGAATATTAATATGTGGTCCGGATCATTTGTGAATTCCCGAGGGTTTCAGAGAGTCTGGGTTGCGTCATCAGCGGCCTGAAAACATTTAGAGCTGCAGTTTTGATACATTGACCGAGGGGGGAATTTATTCTCGTAGCGTGTGAATAAATCAATCATTTGGTTATTTGTTTGACGATCTTTCGTGATACATTATCCAATCACAGCTTGACGTGGTCGCTGAACTGAAATGAAACTTGATCAAGACGTGAACTCGTCCAAGTGAAGGAAAGATGAATTGTTGATGAGGAGTGTTAATCCAGTCCAATTAGCATCGCCAAGAAGGCAGAGACCACGGAACAACACCTCTCCGTCTGAAGGGCCCTCTTCTTTTCAATTACTGACAAAGCAATCAATTACTCAGCACTTCTTTAATTAGAAAGTCCTTCTTTTAATTTGACGCACTGCGAGCCGCCATCTCAAATCACGGCTTCATTATAAACACACTTTGTGATGCACATAAACACACGTGTGCACAGACACCATTCTCTTAGCCCATCGGTTTGAGTGACAGGTGAGTGTCTGTGTGTGTGTGTGTGTGTGAGAGAGTGTGTGTGTGAGAGAAAGCTGGAGGCATGTTTGCAGCTTTGATTGGCCGGTGGTGTTGGCACGGTAACAGGCAGTCAGGCACACAATCTCAGCGGAGCAGTTTCCTGCCGCAGCTGCCTGACCTCCAAAAAAAAAAAAAAAGGGCCAGACAACCAGAGCCTCAGGACATGGCGAGCTAATCGAAAACAACAAAGACTGAGCTAAGCCACTTTTTCTCCCCCTACACCGCCACCAAATGATGGGATTATGCAAGAATTCCCATCGCAGCTATTTGATGTCGGTGGAGGAAAAGGGGGGGGGGGGAGGAATCTCAAGGTAAAAATAAATAAAAAATGTAGCTGTATCAAAGATTTTCTGAATGAAGGGAGGAAGTCTCCGTTGGGAGTTACGGGCACTTGCATTTCAAATCAGACATGGCTGAGGTTAAAAACGGTGAGGATTTGACACCGTGGATGTGATCCTGCAGCAGTGACGGTGAAATACATGTGAGGCGGTTGTTGTCAGTACCTGGAGGCAGGCTGGCCCTCTTCCTCTTCTTGCTGTTGTCGACTGTGCTTTCCAGAGGAGGACACTCCGTCACCAGTGGCCCACTGGAACTGCTGAAGTGGAGGGGGTCGTTATTGCTGGCTGCATCAAAGGGCAGAGAGTTGAGTCCTGGAAGACACAGAGAGCCACATTATAGCAAATGAAGAGATGGCAGCTGACCAAAAAAAAAAAAAAAAGGGGGGTGGGGGGGAGAGAAACACTGTGCAACGTGAAAAAAGAAGAGGAAGCGACATGAGGTTCCAGCGCTGCTGTGCGTTTCATTTCCGAACCCTGTGGAGGTTCATTCAGACACAAGCCACTGAGGACCTCATAAAACACCGTTAGGTCAATGGTGCTTATGACAGCTGCACTGGTGAAACCATAAAAGTAATGGTCAGGATTCAACACAATATTAAATTCTATAACACTTACATTTGCTGAAAATCATGCGAGGAGATTGTTTTCTCAGTTAAAATCGATCTGTAAGGAATTACACGTGAATACAAAATAGAGAAGAAACAACTAGTCGATTCATTGATTACTCCAAATTGATATACCACTGTGATAATCGATTAATCATTTAGGCAAAAATTCAGAAAAATTGATTGTTCCAGCTTTTGGAATGTGAGAATCTGCAACATATGTCCTTGTATTAAATGATGGCCGAATCAAAATCTGTTACTTTTGGACCTTAAGTGAGAGAAAAGAATACATCCGTAGACGTTATCTTAGGCTTTTGGAAAGGACAATGGCCATTCGTCACTATTTTCTGATGTTTTAAACCTCAAATGCATCGAACAATTTGTGAGATTATTCCACAAAGAAAACAATCATTTGTCGCAGCCTTCATACAAGTAAAAGTCTGGCTTTGAATGCACATTTTTAAAGAATCTTTTGAGACTAGATACCAGGAACTTGTTGATATTAAGAATCAATTTAATGACATGATATTTTTGTTATTCCGCAATTTCTGCACCAGAATACTTTTGACCTGATCCCAGACACAGACGAGGCACAATGGTGCACTAGTTGGCTGAACCCTGAATCAATATTTTGTGTGTGCGCAGACACACCGACACATGCAGCGCTTCCTTCTCTTTCAATCAGAGTCACAGTTAAAAAGGGATAAAATCATCACCAGTATTGAAATAATGCCGTTAAGAATACCCAACACCAAGTCAGCACACCACAAAAACAGCATCTCATTGTAAGTTGAACAGCATGTAGACGTAAAGGCTCAGATGTGCTGTATAATGAGGCCAATCCATCAGTCAGCATAGTGGAGGAAGGCGAGGTTTTCTTTAGCGTTTGGATTTTGCACACTGCTATTTCGCAATAACAGAATCATCAGTCGTATCACGAATACAAGACAAAAACAGCACTTACATCCATAAGTAATGAAAACAAAAACAATGTCGAGTTTGCTCCCGAGTCCGAATAAATGATAAAGAAGTTAACTTGATGCATCAGCTAGTTCCCGCTCTTTAAGAGTTGTGTATTTGTTTATAATTCAGAGAAGGGTGCTGGGGAGACTCGGTCTACAGTCATGAAACATTCATGATGCTTCTTTGTTGCGTGGATTGGTTGTTTTTTCCCCCCCTCTGTTGCACAACAGATCAGGAGCCCCAGATTAATGTGAGGACCCTCATCGGGTATTATCAACTCCAGACAGCGCTCCAAGTGTCAACAGAATGATAAAGGGTTGTAATTGCGGTCTTTGTTTAATAAAATCTCCTTCACGAAATGAAAACTCTTACATCACGCTTCGGAGAATACTTCAATTAAGCATTTTCATGGCTTTGAAAATGATAACATCTCTCCAATATTTCAGACTACTCTGTGACAGAATCTTATGGAACTATGAAGGAGCTCTAATTCAAATACAGATGTTGGTACAAACTCACTCTTCTGTTCCATGTAGGTGACTGTGTATTTGCTGCAGTCAGTCTAAATAGATCTTCTGACTGAGCTCACACACACACACGCAGTACGTCGATCTCTACTTGGCATCCATCCGTCACGCTTTGTTAACGACGAACGGCAATGGTGTCGAGAGTGAAATATATCCATTGCTCTGCCAATGTTAACTCCGTCAACAACAAACAGTTTACGAGAGACAGCTCTTCAGTCGATGGCAACAAAAAGGCTAAGAGAAACCGTGGAAAGAGGGAAACACCACACAGCTACAGCAGTTACTGTGTCATTCTACAGCGGGATCAAGGAGAGAAGCTTCTTTTTGCTCAAAGTGCCGGTCGGGTTTGTCCAAAGATTTCACAACCTTCTCCTAAATGGACTCCAAGTGTGGTGTAAGAAGTGACTGAGGATGAATCAGGAATGGAGGAAATGTTTTGCACTCAAATGTGTGATTTAGAACCGATGCAGAGCTGCTGACTGACTGACTGACTGACTGACATCCGGTACGTTTTGCGTGCATCTCGGCACTTTATCTCGCTCTCGAGTGACAGCGTTGCTTCAGCGAAGCTCTGAGGCAGAATTGAAGAAAAGCATTTTTATAGATTCTGCCTCAATGAAAACAGCTTTTGGCTGTGTGTCGTAATTTTATTTGATCTTGGATCACTTTCCTGGTGTTCAGAACCAGTTATCGGAGAGTTATGGCCCACAAAAGAAACACATGTTGATTTAAAAAAGGTAAAGTTGAGCGACACAGCCTCAGTGTGAGCACAAATATTAAGAACGTCCTTTCTGCGGTGCTACTCCTTTGTCTGTAGGCTGATGGACGATGTGTTTAAGTGTCAACATCTGGCCAGAGAGCCCTACCGGGGGGGGCAGAAGGGCTGCAGAGCAAATGAAGGAAATTAAAAACATGTCGAACAAACAGACAAACTTTGCGCTCCATGCTGAGATACAAGAAATGAAAAGTGACTTGATCTCACATCACGGATGCATCAACCACATGCCCCATTAATGGTATAGTGGGCCAGTTAAAGGCAGGACCATTAGAATATGCAATGAAACTCAGTGGGTCATTTAGAAAGCATTTAACTGCCTAAAACAAAAAATTTAAGCATAAAACAGCAGATTATCGATATGAAATCAAACGTTAGTTGCAGTTGATTCTATAAACTGCTATAAAAAGATTACTTTGCAGTGGAAGTGACTGAAAACCCCCAAAACCCACTACTTTTTGGTTTGTGTTTACTAAAAAGGGTCCGATACAAAGCACATGTTGATGCAAAGCACATCTCAAATATATACGGCTGGGAACAGACACACCCATTCCTGCTCATGGAGGTACTCAGGTTTCCTGCAACACACAGAGTCATGAAATACGAGAGGTTTGAGAGCAATTACATAAAGGCCGACTTCATCATTTCCTTTATAATGATGATTTCAAAGCACGCTGGTATCTGTGGGGATCAAACCTGTGATCTTTCTGTACAGATCACATCATTAACCGTCGCAATGATTCTCCTGGTGGCATGTTTGTAGAATTCTCCTGTAGTCCTTAATCTAACTCCCATCAGCAGTACAGTATGAATAATGCAGAGCATTAAGAAATGTTGCAGGTAAGTGCTGAGGGGGGGCTATTAATCTAAGATAGCACTGAGAAACACAGAGGAAGTGAGCACAGAGGCCGTGTAGAATACTGAACGTTCATTCATCTGAACAAGGCGAAGGGCCAGATGGTGGCACACAACATTAACATATCTCCAAATGTCTTTCTCCGACTATTTCAGCTCATTACTAAACCACAACAAACCTCCCAGCTCCACTGACTTCTACATTCAAGCAGGCAAAGTGCTTTGCTGCATTCACTTATCAGGACAGAATCTGAAGACCGTGTGTGTAGGATCAATGTTTTAATGCTAAATAGCAAAAACAACACTCACTGGGACGAAGTATTGTGTAAAGTACGACGGAATGTTCTCCAAGCTACAGTATGTATGTATGTATCCGCTCTGTCTTTAAAAATATCGGTTTTAAAATAATCACAGAGCCGTGTCTTAATCAGCAGCCAAACCAAGTTGTTAAATATTCAAAGTGGAGCAATTTCATCATATATTTAATTGCACTACTTCTCTTCTTTACGAGGTCGTGAGCTCACAGCTGGATCGACATGACTGGATTAATGCTATAAAAAGGAAAACATGTCTTCATGATTTACTCAGATTTAACTGGGAGCAGGGATTCTCAGAGCCGCCTCATTACAAAACTGTTTTATTTCCTTCAGACCAACAACCAACGTGACTGATCAACAGAGTAACTGTCGGCAGTCAATCTACTGGGAATAGAAAATGAATTTCATCTGAATGGCACCACTGTGCAGCCTTCTTTGTGAGGATATAATCAAGTACAATGTTCTTTTTTAAATAATTGGTGGAGCACTCTTTCTGCCCACATTGTGAGCACAACTGATGGCCGTCCCGATTTCTCAAAAGTCCAAAGTGACTTCTTTAAATGGCTTGTTTTGTCCAACCACAAGTCCAAAAGATATTCAGGATGTTGCCTCGCTTTTTGTAACATTTAAGTCAGAATGCAGACCACGTGGACGACATGCGGCTGGAGTGGAAAGGGCATTGAGTCTTTGAATAACGGATTAAAAAAAAGGAATCCAGAGAGGTCACATTGTCCGTCACCATTACATTAGACATGCAGGTCACAAGTCGGATAACATTCAAAATCATAACGCATTCCGATGACTCTGGGTCTCAGTCACAGGCCTTTCGTCACCTGAAAGGCTACCGATGAAAGTCACAAGACCTCCGTTAAGTCTCGCTGAAGATCAGTCCCCACGACACAATGAGATGATGCTCTATTCATAGCCTGGTCCATCAGAACAACAGGACGCGGACCATGAGCACTAGCTCCTAAATAAGGTCTCTGACTTAAGTCATGAGTGCCCTGAGCAGATGTACAAACAAGGTGTCTGACAGATGTGGCTTAGCGGTGGATGGCAAAGCATGCCAGGCAGTTGTGGTATTCTCATGAGGCTATTTGCCAAGCTTTTCACTTCCTGTGTATTTATAGCAAAGACAAAAAGGGGGGTGGCAGTTAAAACAACAGGCGGCTCATACAAGCGGAGGGCAGGGGGCCATTTTCTGGACAGCTGCACTATCCCAGAGGCTTTGCTCATTTCAACAAAGGAAATGAATGACTGAGAGCGTCCT